TCTCCTGCCTCACGCCCCAGGAGGTGCTGAGTACTCACAGCGCCTGCCACCTCGCACCGGCTAGTTTTTTTGTATTTTTTTAGTAGAGACGGGGTTTCCACCGTGTTCGCCAGGATGGTCTCAATCTCCTGACCTCGTGATCCACCCGACCCCGGCCTCCCAAAGTGCTGGAGATTACAGGCATGAGCCACCGTGCCCGTCCTCTTTCAACATTTTATTAAGGAACATGCAGCATTTAAGCTGACCACCCAGCAGTTTTCTCTGGAAATTTAGGAATTCTTTGCCATCTTTTATTCTAACAGCCACCCTTCCTGATGTAAACACATTTGGGGTTCCTATCCCTGTAGATCCCAGTGCCTTGTTTTCGGTCTGTGTTATGGCTCACAAAACAATGTTCAATGAAAATTAAGTGATCAAGTAGACAAAAAAATGAAATGTGTAAAGCACTCTTCCTTGTGCCTTGTGTGCCGGGAACCAATTCCAAGTCTGCACGTGAATGGGGCCATCCAGCTGTAATGTGAGACATCTCTCCAGCACACTCCGGATAGTAAACAATATGCCAGTGATACTATGTAACATCTGTGGTGGTCATCTGATAAGGGAATTTGGCTGATAGCATATTCTTCGTTTTCTCCCCCAATATAACAGGTATCATTATCATTTTGGCTTGTTTTTTGGCTTCTGTGTGATGGTGTGATTTGCAACAGTTTTTACTACAATAAATGTAATTTTGAATAATGGCTATAGCTGTGGGTTTATTTCTACCTTTAATTGCAAAATTAATTGATTTCATCCTGGAAAGTATTATTTGTTGCTTGTTTTAGAAAAAGATCAATTATTTATCTGAGCATACAAAGATATTATTTGAAAATATTACAAAAACAGCAACATCATCAACTCTACTTAGGGCAAATATTCATGACTAAAAGCAATGCAGACAGGGAGTTGGGTACAGGATACTGTATAGGACAAATGATCTCGGATCTAGCATCAGCCAAGTTTAGCTGATCATTGCTGTGTATCCCATTAGCAACAACACATTTTCCACTTGTTTCAAGATACAAGGATTGATAGGGAGGAGTTTCATATGAGTCTTATCCACTATTTCAGTTACGATCTTACTCTGAGATATTGTATTTGTGTTAGTATTTTCATTGCTGCTTTTTCACTTCAATGAACCACTTGAAGCCATTGATTTTTTTTTTCACATCCCAAAATGAGAATATAACTTAACAGAATGGGAATAATAAAAAATGCACATTTAACACATTAGAGTAAGCAACTACTTGTAAATGATGTGAAAATACATTCACCCACAAGAAATGTTTTCTCGGTCAAGGAAATGATGCTGAGGCAAAATGTCAAGGGCCTCTGCACCACATATGACCACAATTCAAGAAAGGAAATGAATTTCTGTGTAAGTATTAATAGATTTTATAACTCAAATTTGTCAAAAGTGAAAGAAATGTTTCCATCACATTCCTTACTAAAACTGAGAAACCCCCTAGATTGATTACAAAAGTGGTCCCAGTTCCCTGCCACTCTCCCTAGCAATGCCTTTTGCAATATGACTTTTAGCTCTTCCCATCAAGAAGTATAGTCTATGTATTCATCTTTGAAGTTGTGCTTACCTTGTGACTTGCTTTGTTCAATAGAATGCGGGGAAAATGATATTTTGCTACTTCTGAACCTAGCCCTCAAGCAGTCTTCCTTGCTTATGCTCATTTCCTTGGTCCCTTGGGAGTTCAAGTTCGATAGCATAGGCTAGCATGCTGAAGAATGAGAGATCATGTGGAGGAAAGTCAATGCACACAGGCCCTACTAAACCATCCAGCCCTCCGCCAACCTACAAGCTGACCACCAATACATGAGTGAGACCAAGCAAGATCAGCCAACTCCGGTTGAGATCAGCAGCTCTGTCTGTTGGCCCACAGGACCATAATACATGATTATTGTTTTTAAGTTACTGAGTTTTGGGGTGATTTGCTATGAAGTGCTAGTAAACTAATTCATCACCTGTCTTCTATTAGGTGGATCACAATTTGAGAAACATCAAATAAGACAGAAAACTCCATGAGGGTAGGGATGATACCTTTATTTTCAACTTTAGTTCTCTGATATTAGACTAGGGGTTGGCACATTGTCAACACTCTCTAAGCACTTATTGAATTAACAAATTCATCAATTCTCTGCCATTGTCTCCACCACTATCTTACATCACGCATTCTGAACATTATCAGCATCCTTTCACAAGTGTTCATCTCTAAGGGAAGAAAAATTTGATTTAGGGTTCTAAAAGTAGTATTTTCAAAAAATTCACTAAGTTTAGAAATATGTAAATAATTTGAGTAAACCATTCATTTGAAATGATTAAACTAACTTGGAAACAGCTTCATTATGATGAAAATGGATATCTTTCTTAACAAAAGGTTTTTAACTGATTTTGAAAAATTACAACTCCTTTGTTTCATCTTATTAAATGAGTAAATTTGCACATAATCCTATTGTTTCATGGATTTTTATTATTCATTATCATTAATGTTTAGGAAAATTTCATGAGGTCCTTATAGTAATTACAAGTGTAAACATTTATTAAGCACTCACATGTGATAAACATTGCATTATTCTCTTTGCAGAGAAGTGCAGTGCTTAAAAATGACATCTATAGACTAAAGATGCCAAAGTTTGTATGTCTAATCCAGATTTCTGTCCTCACCTCTGTGCTTATATATCCAAATGCCTGCATTCCATGGCCAGTTGCATGCCTGATGAGCTTCTCAAATTTGACATGACTAAAACTGACCTTCTGACTTGCCTCTTCAATGCTTTGAGAGGCACTATTACCATTTCAGGCAATGGCAACTCCATCCTTCCAGTTGCAATGATGACCCATGAGTCATTCTTAATTCCCTTTTTCATTTAGGTATCAATTCCTTCTCTATATAGTTCATGTACACTGAGGATGCTGGCCTTGTTCTTTGTCCAGGAGTGTTCACTGATTGACTTAAGACAATCAACACATTCTACTTCCCTGGTCAGAGGCCAGTAAGAGTGAATCTCACAAGTTTTGTGAGAAAAAAATAGGAAAGGAGATGCACTTTCTCTCCTTGTTGTATGTGAAAGAAATGTTTATAGCCTCAATTGTGGGAGATGGCCTTTCTTCAACAGAGAAGGAAGCCAGAGTTGGTATAAAACTAGCACCATAGATATCAGAAGACAGAAAAAGAAAGTGGCTCTTGAAGAGGTCATTGAGTGACTGGGTCATCAAAACCTGAAGCTTCCTCCACCTCTGAATTTTCCAATCACGTGAGTCAAATATTGCCTTTTTGTTTAAGCAACTTTGAGTTGGAGCTTTTGGTTCATGCAAGTGAAAGCATCTTAATTAATATAAATGGATGGCCCTTTAACAAGTCTTTGTGTGTTAACTTTATATATTTTGATGAAATACAGAATAAATGGCATTTTCAATTTTTCATAGCCCTGTGCCTTTGGCTATGTTGTTCCTTCTCTCTGGAGTGCCCTTCCCACCATATCCTCTTAGCAAATCCCTACTCAACTTTTAAGACCTAGCACAAATATCCCCTTCTTTCTTAGGATGTTATTGTTTAGACATGGCCTAATTTTAAGTACTTGACCCTAGTGGATTCATTCGTTGCTTCCATTAGTGGGAAAGTCATTAAAAAAATATGTATTTGTATTTTCTCTTCTACTACATGCTAGGCATGTGCCAGGCACATACAATGGGCAAACTCCTTAAGGAGTTTAGAAATGGGCTATACAGAGAAGTGAGCCAGCAAGCAATTACAATATGGGAAGTTCAGTGTTGAGATGGTAAAATGTCTGGGTGTGGTAGGAGCATAGTGGTAAGCCTCTAATCAAGTCTTAGTGGGTGTGGATAATGGAGGTGAGTCCTGGAGGAAGTGATGTCTACAAAGAGATTTAAGAACCAATAGGAGTTTAACAGACAGGAAGACAGAGAAAAGAACATCCCAGGGAGAAGAGTTCCTGACAACATCCAGCAGCATCAGAGATCAAGACCCTCTTGGGGGACAGGGTCAGAATGTAGAGTTCCAGAAGGAACATAGTGAAAGATGAAGCTGGAGTCCAAGGAGACAACCAGACCAAGAAGGACCTCACAAGGCTTACTAAAGAATATGGGTCCAAGTGCGGTGGCTCACGCCTGTAATCCCAGCACTTTGGGAGGCCGAGGCGGGCAGATCACGAGGTCAGGAGAACCATCCTGGCGAACACGGTGAAACCCTGTCTCTACTAAAAATACAAAAAAGTTAGCCGGGCGTGGTGGCGGGCACCCGTAGTCCCAGCTACTTGGGAGGCTGAGGCAGGAGAATGGCATGAACCCGGGGGATGGAGCTTGCAGTAAGCGGAGATCGCGCTGCTGCACTCTAGCCTGGGTGGCAGAGTGAGACTCCATCTCAAAAAGAAAAAAAAAAAGAATATGGATTCTGTCCGGGGGACAACTGGGAGGATGATTTATTTGTGCTTTAGAAAAATCAAAGAGGCTGCAGGAGAAGTGAGAGGTTTCAGGGAGCCCCACATAGACCAGGTAGACCTGTTAGGGAGCATTGGATCTGTCTAGTCCTCATCTCTTTGTGTGTCATTTCCCCTGAGATGTCTGATTAGGAGCAGACACAGAACTTAAAGATTATGGAAAACGTGGCAATTGTGAGTCTTTCCATGTGAGCCCACCAAGAGGGGGTCATTTTGGACATGGAAGACTGCCTTAAGTGACAAGAATGGCATAAGTAATATTAATAATGAACATGATGACAGTACCCTGTAAACAGCATTTGTAAGGTCAAATATGCAGCAAAATTCAACAGTCATTAGTGGTTCTTTTGACCAACTCCAAATTTTGGAGTTTAGTCACTTTATCCAACAGATTCACTTGAAACAATGGAGGTTTTGGACAAAAGAAACAGGCATGTAATGCATCACCACCGGATTTTATTAGAAGTCAATTCATTGGTAACAGTAGTCTCCTAACACGGTGTGAGGGTGAGGAGAACCTCCTCCCTGACGGTTTCTGCACTACAGAAGTTGAACCTGTGGAGAGAAAACAACACAAAGTCACCTCCTCTTCCTGGCACACATCTGGAGTGTGACAATGAGGACAACCTCTGCCCCCAACCTCCCAGTCTGAGGGAAGGGCACACCCTATGCTGGAGATCAGACAATGGCTGAGGGAGGACCTCTTCTACATAAAGGAATGAATTCTCCTTTCCAGTGTTATTTTCTGGTTGTGCACCAGCAGAGAGAGAAGCTATCAATAGACACCCCAAAGAAAAAGAAAGACTCATTTGTCACGAGCAGTCACTGAACACTTAGCCCATGTCAAAAAATGCAACTGAGGAACAGCAGAGTCACCATCATAAGAAATCAGCCCAGTGTATAAAATCTAATTTCTGGTATTATGTTGGCTAACCATTATTTTAATTCAATATTGGAATTAAAATGACAAAGTTTTCTCATTAAGACTGAATAATATGCCTTCTTTTCATGTGTGCATCAAATAAAGAAAAGAAAAGAAGGAAGGAGAAAGAAAGAGAAAGAAAGAAAGAAAGAGAAAGAAAAGAAGGAAGGAAGGAAAGAAAGAGAAAGAAAGAAAGGAAGAAAGAAAGAAAGAGAAAGAAAGAAAAGAAGGAAGGAAGGAAAGAAAGAGAAAGAAAAAAAGGAAGAAAGAAAGAAAAAGAAAGAAAGAAAGAGAAAGAAAGAAAGAAAGAGAAAGGAAGAAAGAAAGAGAAAGGAAGAGAAAGAAAGGAAGGAAGGAGAAGAGAAGAAGGAAGGAAGGAAGGGGAGGAAGGAAGGAAGGGAGGGAGGGAAGGAAGGAAGGAAAAGAAAGAAGGGAAGGAAGGAAGGAAGGAGGGAAGGAGGGAGGGAGGGAAGGAAGGAGGGAAGGAAAGAGGGAAGGGAAGGAGGGAAGGAGGAAGGAAAGGAAGAAAGAAAAGGCTGAACAATACTTAGGATGCTTTGGAATATTTTTCTTTAATAAAATACCTTAGCATATGTAAACTATCAGGCACAGAAAAAGATGCTCAGAAAATGTTTTTTTCCCTTCACGCTCACTTCCTCAATGACTGGCAGCCTCACAAATAGGAAGTTAAAGGTTAAAACAGTTATCAATCAGGGACACAAGAAATGAAAGGCATCAATATTTATATATGATTAAAGGTGAACTGAATTTGTTTTGTAGTAGTTAAGAATTTTGTAGAGTCAAACTTCCTGCACAGAAATTCAGAAACGGTATCTTCATTTAATTATCCGTAAAATAAGGATAATGAAACTACCTCATAGGATATACATTTTTGTTTTAACAGCTTTATTGAGCTTTAATTTACCTGGAATAAACTGTACATATTTAAATTGATACGTTTTCACACACACAACATACACCTCTGAAACCATCACCAAAATCAAAGTTATAAACATATCTATCATCTCCCCAATTGTCTTTCTTCCCCTTTGTAATTTCTTCTTCCCATTCCCTCCAATATTCACTCCTCCCAGGCAACCACTGCTCTGCTGTCACTATAGAGTAGTTTGAATTGTCTGGAATTTTATATAAATGGAATCTAAGGTGTATGCACTCTGGTCTAGCTTTTCATTCAGTATAATTATCTCAAGATTCATCCATATTGTTGAGTGTACCATTAGTTGATTCCTTGTCACTGCTGAGTAATATTCCATTGTATGGACAGACCATAGTTTGTTTATCCATTCCTTTTTTGGTAGACGTTTGGATTGTTTCTACTTCTCGCCTGTTACAATAAAAGTTGCTATAGGCCCAGGCGCAGTGGCTCACCCATGTAATCCCAGCACTTTGGAAGGCCAAAGCAGGTGGATCACCTGTGGTCAGTGGTTTAAGACCCGCCTGGCCAACATGACAAAAACCCGTCTCAACTAAAAATACAAAAATTAGCTGGGCATGGTGGCGCATGCCTGTAATCTCAGCTACTGGGGAGGCCAAGGCAGGAGAATCACTTGAACCCAGGAGATGGAGGTTGTGGTGAGCCAAGATTGTGCCACAGCACTCCAGCCTGGGTGACAGAGCAAGACTCTGTCTCAAAAAACAAAAAAAATTGCTATAAATATTCATGTTCATGTACAAATCTTTTGTGTAATCATATGTGTTCTTGCCTCATGGGTAAAGAGTGAAGACCGAAATCGCTGACTCAGCTAGATGCATGTTTGGCTTTTTAAGAAACTGTTAAGGTGCTTTCCAAAGTAGTTGTATCCTTTTTATATTCCCATCAGCACTGTATGATAGTCCTTCACAAGAGTTGGTATTATCAATCTTAATTTTGGCCATTTAAATAGGCGGTATCGCATTCTGTTCTTAATTTGCATTTTTCTAATGATTAACAGTGTATCGTTTTCGGTTCTTTCACATTGAGAAATGTATTTGTGATTTTATGTTTAAAGTGCATTTCAGGCTGGGCACAGTGGCTCACGCCTGTAATTTCAGCACTTTGGAAGGTCGAGGTGGGTGAATCACTTGAGGTCAGTTTGAGACTAGCCTGACCAACATGGTGAAATCCTGCCTATACTAAAAATACAAAAATTAGCTGGGAGCGGTGCTGCTGCCTGTAATCCCAGCTACACAGGAGGCTGAGGCAGGAGAATCACTTGAACCTAGGAGGCAAAGGTTGCAGTGAACTGAGATCGTGCCATTGCACTCCAGCCTGGGTAACAGAGCAAGACTCCATTTCAAAAAAACAAACATAAAAAAGTACATTTTATATAGCCAGAATACAATTGGATATTGAGTTTATAAAAATACAGTGGAGTAAGTTTTGTCTTCTAATTGTGGTATTTAGACCATTTTTACTTTATACGATTATTTATATGGCTAGGTATGAGGCTATTGTCTTTTTTTTTTTTTTTTTTTTGAGACAGAGGAGTCTTGCTCTGTCGCCCAGGCTGGAGTGCAGTGGTGCGATCTCCACCTCCCGGGTTCACACCATTCTCCTGCCTCCAGCCTCCCGAGTAGCTGGGACTACAGGCACCCTCCACGACGCCCGGCTAATTTTTTGTATTTTTAGTAGAGATGGGGTTTCACCATGTTAGCCAGGATGGTCTCAATCTCCTGACCTCGTGATCCGCCTGCCTCGGCCTCCCAAAGTGCAGGGATTACAGGCTTGAGCCACCGCACCCGGCCCCTTTTAGTTCTTTTTATACTCTATTTTGGATTATATTTTATTCCATTTTATCTCCTTGTCTGGGTTATTTGCTATCATGCTTTGTTTCATTATTTTAGAATTTATAGCACATATTTTAAATTTATCACATCTTACTTTCAAAAGAGAGTATACCAATTCATAAATGGTATAAGAACTTTCCAATAGTGTATTTTCAGTTCTCCTCCCCCGCCCTTTATGTCATTGTTATATTTTACTTATACACCTATTATATACTCCCCAAAATACTGTCATTATTTTTTAAGTAGTCAATTTTTTCAAAGAGAATTTAATAATAAGAATTAAAAATATTATGTATTTATCACATACTTCCTATTTCCTGTGTTCTTAATTTCTTTTAGTGAATTCTTTTCTACCTGGTATCATTTTCCTGTGCCTGAAGTCCTTCCTTTGACATTTCTTTTAGTGCTAACCTGCTGGTGAGGAATTATTTCGGTTTTAAAAGTATTTATTTCATCTTTGTCTTTGAAAGATATTTATGGGTATAAATTCCAGGTTAACAGTTTTTCCTTTCCATACTCAAAGATATTGTTTCACCGTCTTCTAGCTTGCATTGTTCCTGATTAGAAATTTGCTGTAATTTTTTTTCTTCACTGTTCTAATGTGTCATTTTTCTCTGACTGCTTTCAATATTTTGTCTTTATAATTGGGTTTCAACATTTTTTTATTTGTGGAAATTTAAGGGAACAAGTTAAGTTTTGTTAGACGGATATATCATATAGTGGTAAAATCTAGGTTTTTAGTGTAATCACCTGAATAATGTACATTCTACCTGGTTTTGAGCGTTTTGATTTTTATGTGTGTTGGTGCTGTGCTGTTTTCTTCATGTTTCTTGTGATTTTCTTTGATCTGTTGGTTTAGAGTTTTCACCATGTTTGAAAATTTTCAAGGTATTATTTCTTCACATATATTTTTCTGTCCCTTCTTTGTTAGGGTCTTATTTCCAATAAATAAGCCTTATTGTTATTGTCCTACAGATCACTGATATTCTTTTAAAATTATTTTAAAGATTTTTTCTCTGTGTATTTCATTTCAGAAAGTTTCTATTATGTATTCAATGTCATTAACCTTGTCTTCTATAATGTCTAATCTACTTTTAGTTACATTCTGTGCATGTTTTGTTTGTGACATTGTATTTTTCATCTCTAGAAACTCAGTGTGGGTCTTTTTCTATATAGGTTGAGCGTCTAAATCTAAAAATAAAAAATCCATTCCTGAGGGAAGTAACTCAGGAATGGAAAACCAAACATTGTATGTTCTCACTGATATGTGGGAGCTAAGCTATGAGGACGCAAAGGCATAAGAATGATACAATGGACTTTGGGGACTTGGGGAGAAGAGTGGGAGGGGGGCGAGGGATAAAAGACAACATATATGGTGCAATGTACACTGCTCAGGTGATGGGTGCACCAGGATCTCAGCAATCACCACTAAAGAACTTACTCATGTAACCAAATACCACCTGTACCCAATAACTTATGGAAAAATAAAATAAAAATAAATTAAAAATCCAAAATGCTCTGAAATTTGAAATGTTTGATTGCCAACATGACGCTCGAAGGAAATGCTTATTGGAACATTTCAGATTTTGGAATTTTTTTTTTTTAATTTTTGATGCTCAACTGGTACATATAATGGAACTATTCCTAAAGTCCCAAGAAATTCAAAATCGAATCACTTCTGATCTCAAGCATTTTGGATGAGAAACACTCAACCTGTATATGCCACGCCTTTACTGACCTTTTAAGCAAATGGAATACAGGTTTAAGAACTGTTTTAATTTTCTCCTCTGCTAATGTAACATCTGTGTCAGTTTCGGTTTGGTGTCGATTGATTATTCTCCTCATTATAGGTTGGATTTTTCTGCGTCTTTATATACCTGGGAATCCTTGAGTCAAAGTCAGATACTGTGGATTTTAGATTTTTAGGTGCTTGATAATTCTGAATCTTTATAAATATTCTTGACCTTTTTGTTCTGCAACGCAGTTAAGTTATTTGGAAACAGTTTCTTTACAGATCTTGGTCAATATAGGTAAATTATTTTCCACTATAAAGCAAGACTTTCTAAAATACTCTACCCTGTGTCCTTTGAATTATAAACTTTTGTAGACTGCTTGGTGGAAGTAAGCACCATTCTCAGTCCTGCAAGAGTATGGGAACTATTTTCTCTAATCCATCAAATGGATATTTCCATGACCTCCAGCTGGTTTGTTCTCATACATGGGCCAATCAGTACCTTGATGAATATTCAGGGGGACTTTTCATAACCTCTGGGATTCTCCCTCGGCAACTCACTCCTGTATGGTATGCTGTCCTGTGAAATCTACTTCCCTGGATCTTCTGATTCTTAACTCTGATTCTTTAACTTAAGGAGTCCACTGAACTCTGCCTGGGTTTCTCCTCCCTGTGACACATCCTGGAAATCTCTCGGAGCAGTAAGCTGGGGCAACTGCGAGGCTCCATCTTGTCCGTTTTTGTCTCTCAGGGATCACTATCCCTTATTCCTTGATGTTCAGTGTCTGGAAAACTGTTTTTTCACATACTTAGTTTGAATTTTTGGTTATTTCAATCAGGACAGTAAATCTGGGTTCTGTTACTCCATCTTTGCCAGAAGCAAAGTCCCCTCATTTGGTTTTTATGAGGATGGAAGGATAGAATGACAGAAGCACAGGGCTTGCCTCAGCATTTGGCCTAATACTCAGAAATACTTGATCTAGTGTTGGTATTGTCATGATTATCATCAGATCACCTTTCCTGGTAGTTCACCTTCCTTTGGCTCCCACACCCTCCAGTCCTGGTTGAAACCAAGGATTATCTCCTGGACCTTCATCTTCACTAAGAAGACCAGTGATTCGGAAAAGCCTATTTCTGTTCCTTGATACATTCACTGTGTTCCTAGCAACTTAAACAGCAATTAGGTGAGCCCGGGAAGTTTGGAAGATGCACACAAGAAGCACTCACATAGCACAAAACACAGCTGCCAAAGGAAGCATTCCTCTCACCTTAGAATCATGAAGCCAGATTCTCATTCTAACATTTAATTTGTATCAGCTATCACATATTTGTCTACGAATTGATCAAAGCTGTTTCCTAAAGTTCTACCCTTTTTCCTAAAGAAACAGAAGGCATTAGGAAGCAACTGTAACTAGGATGTAGGTGATCCCCTGTAGGAGGTTTCACTTAAATTAGACTTTTAGAAGGAATAGAACTATAAACACAGATTCGATATTTCACATCTCCTGGGATTTTCATTACTTACTGTTTTCCATCATTTCTTCTCTGCCGAGACTATGAACGAGCTCGTGCGAGCGTCGGTGGAGAGGTGTAGAGCGTGGGTGATACCAAAAATGGAGCGTTCGCAGGATCCAAACGGCCGAGGCGGAGGGTAAGCAGATATGAAGATATTGGTTAGAGGGCCCGGAGGAATTTAAGAGGAACGAAAAAAACAACATGAGCTACAGAGTGAGGTAGGTATACAGGATATATTTGGTGGTTGCTGTTTTGTGTTGTATATAACAGACA